ACACAATTTTTTACAGACCTTGAAATAAAAATTCTCACTTTCATATGGAACAAGAAATCCAGAATTGCTAAAACAATTCTCTACAGTAAAAGATCTTCAGGAGGTATCTCCATCCCTGATCTCAAGCTGTACTATAGAGCAATAATACTAAAAAATGCATGGTACTGGCATAGAAATAGACTGGTGGATCAATGGAATCAAATAGAAAACCCTGACATAAATCCACACACTTATGGGCACCTGATTTTTGACAAAGATGCCAAATCCATTCAATGGAAAAAAGACAGCATCTTCAACAAATGGTGCTGGTCTAACTGGAAGTCTACGTGTAGAAAAATGCAAATAGATCTATACTTATCATCCTGCACAAAACTGAAGTCCAAGTGGATCAAAGACCTCAACATAAAACCAGACACACTAAATTGCTTAGAAGAAAAAGTGGGGTAGAGCTTTGAACTCATTGGCACAGGAGGCAACTTCCTGAACAGAACACCAACAGCATAGGCTCTAAGAGCAACAATCAATAAATGGGACCTCATGAAACTGAAAAGCTTCTGTAAAGCAAAGGACAGTGTCCTTAGCACAAAATGACAGCCTACAGATTGGGAAAGGATCTTCACCAACCCTATATCTGACAGAGGACTAATATCTAGTATATATAAAGAACTAAAGAAGCTAAACAGTAAAAAATCAAGTAATCCACTTAAAAAATGGGGAACAGAGCTAAAGAGAGAATTCTCTGTAAAGGAATATTGAATGGCAGAGAAATACTTAAAGAAATGCTCAACCTCATTAGCCATCAGGGAAATGCAAATCAAAACGACCCTAAGATTTCACCTTACACCCATCAGAATGGCTAAGATCAAAAACTCAAGAGACAACACATGCTGGAGAGGTTGTGGAGAAAGGGGAACCCTCCTCCACTGCTGGTGGGAATGTAAACTTGTACAACCACTCTGGAAAGCAATATGGCACTTTCTCAGACAACTAGGAATAGCGCTTCCTCAAGATCCAGCCATACCACTCCTAGGCATACACCCAAAAGATTCTCAAGTACACAATAAGGACATTTGCTCAACCATGTTTGTAGCAGCTTTATTTGTAATAGCCAGAAGCTGCAAACAACCCCGATGCCCCTCAGTGGAGGAATGGATGCAGAAATTGTGGTTTATCTACACAATGGAATATTACTCAGCAATAAAAAACAAGGAAATCATGAAATTTGCAGGTAAATGGTGGGATCTGGAAAAGATCATCCTGACTGAGCTATCCCAGAAGCAGAAAGATACACACGGTATATACTCACTCATATAGACATATAATGTATGATAAACCTACTAAAATCTGTACACCTAAAGAAACACCTAAAGAAAGAGGGAGGACTCTTGCTAAAATGCTCATGTCCTATCCAGAAAGGTAAAGAAGATGGACATCAGAAGAAGGAGAAAAGAGGGAACAAGTCAGGAGCCTGACACAGAGGACCTCTGAAAGGCTCTGCCCTGCAGACTGTCAATGCAGATTCTTATACTTATGGCCAACCTTTGGGCAGAGTGCAGGCAATCTTAGGAAAGAAGTGGGAAACAGTAAGATCTGGAGAGGACAGGAACTCCATAAGGAGAGCAACAGAACTAAAAAATCTGAGCACAGGGGTCTTTCCTGAGACTGATATCCAACCAAGGACTATGCATGGAGATAACCTAAGACCCCTGCACAGATGTAGCCCATGACAGTTCAGTATCCAAGTGTGTTCCATTGTAATAGGAACAGGGACTGTCTCTGACATGAACTGATTGGCCTGCTCTTTAATTACCTCCCCCTGAGGGGGAAGCAGCCTTACCAGGCCTCAGAAGACAATGCAGCCACTCCTGATGAGACCTAATTGACTAGGATCAGAAGAAAGGAAAAGAAGACCTCCCCTATCAGTGGACTTGGGGAGGGGCATGCATGCAGAGGGTGGAGGAAGGGAGGAATTGGCACTGGAGGAGGGAGGGAACCACAGGGGGGATACAAAGTGAATAAAATGTAATTAATAAAGAAAAAACAAAGTGAACAAAAACAGTTAAAAGATTCCAACTGGATAAAGAGGTACATTAGATAAGGATAGAAAAGAAAAATCATATCAAAACATTTTAATATATACTATGGTAAATAAGTCATAGGAAAGTTATTTGTAGAGTCAGTTGAATCTAATAAAAATGGATATGCATTTTTTGTCTGTCATAATTGGGCAGGTATAAAGCATAGAAAAGGATAAAATGTTATTAGAAAACCTGATTATGTAGACGGTTATATAAAGTGTGCATTTGTATTGAGGTATGTTTACACACACAAATATACGTTTATTTTGCAGTCTTCCTATTGAAGCGTATGTTCAAAGATAGAAACTTGACAAATTCTAAAATAGATTTTTACCAGTCACATTTTCTGATATAGTTGGCTAAGTTGGGCATAATTACAAAATGACAAAAATATCACACTGATTATAAATTGGAAAACATAATCTGAGATAATCTGAGATTAGAGGAAATATTACAGATTATCTTGAGAGCAGTGACAAGAAAAGAAGAATGATCCAGAGCCTGTTAAGTAAAAAGTTTTAGTGTCAGATTTTCTCATTATTAATGAAGGTAAAAAATTAGTATTTATAACTGGGCAGTAGTGACACAGGCCTTTAATCCCAGTACTCTAGAGTTTAAGGCCAGCCTGGTCTGTAGTATGAGCTCTAAGCCATCCAAGGCTGTTGAAACCCTGTCTTGAAAAACAAAAAATGAAGAAATAAAAAATGGTATTTACTTAACTCTACATGTACAAACAGATTTTTATATTTAAAATAACTATAATAATAAGATAGAACAAAGTGAAAATCTAATTAAAACTGAAATTAATGATGTAAACATTTAGAAATGATAAATATGTATAAAAACTTTGGAATGGAGTAATTAATAATTTGGTTAAATTTCTTCTGTGATTGACTAAAGAAAGTAGAGGTGGTGCAGTAGCATGGACAGGGCCCTGGGTTTCCTTTCCATCACCCACTTTCTGCCCCGCCACCCCCAAAGTTGGAGGGAGGGAGGAAGGGAGAATGTAAGAACAAGAGAGCAAAAATGCACAGGACTTAGACTAAGACAGGATATAATCTGATCAGGAATAATTTTAGGAGTTAAGGGTGCTGTTCTGTGAGGATAAATTTGAAAATCCTAATTATAAGGCTGTCCTGGCAGACATAAATTATGTGAACTGATCCACAAAGAAGTGAAAACTTAGTTACCACAGAGAAGATAGAAAGGTATGCTAATATTTATTAAATAAAAGTAGAAGGCTTTCTTAGTTGCTTTTTTACAGAAGCAGCTTAAGGAAGGAGAGGCTTCCTCTGCTTGTACTTTGAGGGTACAGCCTGTAGCACACTCTAGTGTGCTACCATGCATGCATCCATACAGCTTTGCTTTTTGGATATCCTATGCTTTGGACACCTCCACTGACCTGAGGTCTCCACACCATGCTCTTTCAGGGCCTCCCATGCATTCCTACCGTGACACACATTGTCTAGCCTCAGCTCTTCTCTAAAACTCTGGAATAAGTCTTAATGACCCCTTCAGTGCTGTATCTTTTTGCACCCAGATTTTGTGACTGTTTTGGCAAAGTCTTAACTGGAAACCACACAGGAGGGGGATTCTGGGAATAGTTCTTTCAATTTCAGTTTTATAGACCCAAGACATCCTTGGACAGGAGGGATGGTATTGTATAATCAGTCTTAGATACCATTGCACTGAATCCTACCTTAGCTTTTGAGGAAAGATACAGCAGCCTCTTTCCCTAGGGGTCTACTGCTTATCATGCTGTGTGAGATGCTCAGGAGAGCCTGAGCAGCGGGATGTAGCATCCCATTCCTTACTGCTTCTTACTTATTTTTACTTCTTACTTATTCTTCCTGCTTTCACTTATTTTGTAAGTTGTAAATTTGGAAGTGAATTTTGTGTAGTTTGTAATCTTAGGAAACACAGGGAACATTTTATGTCTTCTTCTTTTCTGTGGTGATAATGTAGTGAGAAGACCATGATCTTTGGAACTAGAAGATGTACTGAATCTGAGGATATTTCCTCATCTTTCAGTGATGATATTTTTTTTCTCATATCCTGGAGGAAAGAATCTGGTAATGCTTGTAAAATAACATCAGAGTGCCTGATGTACTGTTAGAACTAAGTTTTCAACCGTGGTTTGGAGTTCATACTAAATTACAGATGACTTCCTTCTTCATTGATTTTGCTCTCTAAAATACGTGAGTATTTAGTTGATGCTAAAGAGCCTGGAGTAGAGTGTAAGTCCTCTGTCTCCTTTTCTGTGAATACCATTGAGTATATGGTTTTCTCTTGAAGATGTGATACTGAAAGAAGCATCTGGGAGGACTTTGGCTCAGGAGTCCCTGCTTTTCATCCGTTAGTAGCCAGGTGTTATGGTGCACATCTGTAATCTTGGTAATTTAAGATCATCGTTTAAGATCATAGTGCATTTAAGGCCAACCTGGGCTACAGGAGTCCCTGTCCCAAAAGAATCAAAAAAAGGAGAAGAAAAAAATAAAAATAAAAAAGGTTCACAGTGAAAGGCATCCTGGGAATTTTGCTTGATTAAGCCTTTCCTCTTAAGCTGGGAGTTGGACTGTCTTTTACTTACTTTTCACACTTGTAATTTCCTTTTCTATCTCCTTGATGCTGCATTTGAGTTGACAAACTGTAAGTTAGCCTGCTTGCCTCCTTCCTGTTGCCTCCCCTTTTGCTCCCTTCTTCCCATAAGAAAATTGCAAGTCATTGTATTTTTACTTGATAACTTTGAAGTTTGTAATTCAAGCTGTAAAGCTTCTTCATTATTATTCCTTTACTTTTGTTTTTGCTCATTTAAATGATGATTTAAGCTAGAAAATACAGTATGCAAAATATTTGTAAAAGTCACAGTCTTTAATACTATGCTTGATAAAAAGAAGTAATGTCTTGGCTTTTTTTCTAAAGGTCTTATGGAAGCGTTTTTAAAGCAATACATAAGGAATCTGGTCAAGTTGTTGCAATCAAGCAAGTACCTGTTGAGTCAGATCTTCAGGAAATAATCAAAGAAATTTCCATAATGCAGCAATGTGACAGGTATGAAAATATCTTGTTTCTTTGTGTTAATATTGATGACTTTCACTAGTTATATAGTAAAATATATTTTTTGTTAATTATTTAAGTTGTTTTTCATGACTTCACATTGGAAGCAAGACCAGAGCTAAAGAGCCTGAGGACTAATGTGTATGCTTGTTTTTGGACTTACAGCTCTTTGGTAATAAAACAGGTGATATAAAAGGACATATACAGGGAGGAAAATAACAAGCCTTTCTCTTTTCGGGACATACTTATGGTTGAATATTAATTTTTTTGATGTTTAGTGGCTCATTTCTCCTCCTCCTCCTTCTCCTTCTTCTTCCCCTCCCTTTCCATTCTCTGTTTTCCTCTCCCTCCTCCTCCTCCCCCTTCCTTCCTCTCAGCCTTCTTCCCCCTCTCTCACTTCCTCCTCTCTTCTTTCTTCTTTCTATGCAGGGTTTCCTGTATAGACTAAGGCTGGACTTGAACCCCCTCTGTAGCTTAGGATGCCCTCAATTTTGTGATCTTTCTGCTTCAACCTCTGAGTGAGAGGGACATTCTGCCATATCTGGCATATAATTGTTTTTGTTTTGAGTCTGATTCATCAACAAGCACTTACAAATCATTTCCTATTGGACAAGTACTATGTCAGGATCTAGAACTACTAAGAAATCTAAGATTTCATTTTTCTTCTTGAGGGTCTGTGGTCTAGCTGGGACGACAAAAACATGAACAAATAGCTCCAGCTCAGAATAGTTAGAGTACTGACTGGTGGGTATTTGGAGTGAGAATGGGAACAAGAAGGCAGGATACCTTTCTCAGTCAAGGGTGCTAGGAAGTTGGAAATGCTGAGGAAGAGTTTGGTGGAGAAATAGAGGGATAAAAGAGTAAGAATTATATAGAGATGTGAAAAAACAATTCACTGGTTTGGGTTCATCTGACAGTATTTAGAATTATTGTAGTGGAAAGTAAGAGTCAGAGATTGATAGGAAATCAGGTTAGATAGATAAGTGTAGCTGATAAGAGGGTTTTTTTTGTGCAATGTTAAATATCTTGGTCTTTATTCTGTGAGGGATGCAGAAGGCATAATTATCAGTGTGTTTCGTCTGTGGTGAACTAGCAAAAGGGAATATAGTTCTCCTTTCCTAAAAGGCTTGAAAGTAGGAGCTGTGCAGCAGCAACATAGTGCTATCTGTATTTCAAGCTTTTTGTTGTTGTTCTTCTTCTTTCATATATTACATCCCCACTGCAGTTTCCTCTCCACCCTCTCCTCCAGCCCCCTCCCCCCCAGATCCACTTCTCCTCCACATCCTTTCAGAAAAGGACTGGCCTTTTAGGGCTATTAACCAAACATGATACATAACAAGATACAATAAAACCAGGTACATCCTCTCATATTAATGCTGGACTTGGCACCAGTAGGAGGAAAAAGGTCCCAAAAGCAGGCAAAAGAGTCAGAGACCATCTCTGCTTCCACTGTTAGGAGTCCCACAAGAAGATCAAGCTACACAAACATAATACATATGCAGGGGACCTACGGCAGACCCAGGCAGGCTCCCTGGTTGTTGCTTTAGCCTCTGTGAGCCCCAATGAGCCCTGGTTGGTTGATTCTGTGGACTAGGTTCTTGTGGTGTTTTTGACTGCTCCTACACTCCTTCCTCCCCCTCTGCTGTAGGATTCCCAAGCTCTGTCTAATATTTGGCTGTGGCTCTCTGCATCTGCTCCCATCAGTTGCTGGATGAAGCCTCTCTGATGATATTATACTAGGCTCCAGACTATGTGTATAGTAGAGTATCATTAATAATCATTTTATTCACTTTTTTTCTGGCGATATTTGGTTTTATTCAAGGTCTCTGGGCTATCCAGCCCCTGGTTCATGGTAAGGCTTATTTTTTATTTTTTTGTACTTTCTAATCACTAACCTTTGTTATTTATTTCATGGCTATAGGAGGTATGGTGGTTTGAGTTAGAAATATCCTCCATAGGCTCATGTAATTTGAACACATGGGCTCCAGTTTGGAGAGGATGTAGAAGCTGTAGGAGGTGGACCCTTGATGAGGAAGTGACACCAGGCTTTGAGCATTTCCAGCCTTGTCCAGCTTCCTGTTCTTTCCCTGCTTTCTGTGTGTGGATGAAAATGGGATTAGCTGGCTTCCTGCTCCTGCTGCCATGCCTTCTCTGTTTTGGTGGATTCCCTCAGAACCATATACTCCCTCTGCTTTTGGTCATGATATTTTATCATAGCAATAGAAAAATAACTAAATGCAGGAGGGTTGCTGTCAACCCCAGTGTCTACTCTCTAGGCAGGAAGAATAAAGAGTCTTTGCCACAATTGTCTCAAATGGTGTCTTAGTTGGGGACTTATAAGGGTCCAGACACACTGTCATTCCTAATCACATTGAAATCCTATAGTCATTATTCTATAGCCGTATAGTCCTACCTGTATATAAAGTTTTTATAGATACTCCCTGACTTATGATGGTTTGATGTCATATCAATAGGCAATTAGTAGAAACCTTTGAATTTTAAATTTTAAACAGTAAATTTTAAACAGTAAACAACAAATCTTACTGTTGCTCTTTTGATGCTGGCTAGCAGCAGTAAGCTATACTCCTGATATATCAGTAGCCTGAATAATCAGTAGCCTTCTGATTGTGAGAACAAACATTCAGTACCCTATAGCATATTGTATTGCCAACCTTAGGTGTTCGATAGGTTAGGTTTGTAAAGTACATTTGCAACATAGTGTGTTTAGTTTATAGTTTAGTTTACAGATCAGATCCTAGTGTAGAGTCAAGGAGCATCTATATAGTAAAAACTCTTTGGCTAATGAAAATGTCCAGTATATTTTATTTATGTTAGATATATGACATGTTTAGATTATATTGTATATTTTCTATCATAATTTGAAACTAAATATTAATTGTAAGATATACTTCTCAATCTTCAGATCAAAGTATGTGATTGCAAATTTCTCCTGGGCTTTGCTGACATTGGGAAGGAAATACTGTGCTAGGCTATCAGCTGTGTTTGGTACTTGTCTGATGCTGTTATTATTTTATTGTTATGCAAAGTAGTTTGGGGACTGATGTCATACTTTAAAGATTTTTATTTGCTGTGTGGCAGTGCTAGAGATAAATCTAGGGTCTTGCTAGCAAGTATATGCTGTGTTCTAAGTTACATCTAACCCCCTAGTGTTATATAGCAGGAATTTCAGCTCAGTATTGTGTAGGAAAGGGGGAGTGAATCCCAATGTATATTTACATATACAAATAGGTAGTAATAGAGTCATTGTTTCCTTAGCCTCAGCATATTTGGAACTTTTAAGAGCTTTTTTGGATTTCTGTAACAATATCTTACTTGTTTTCTTTGTCTTTAATTTTTACCCCCACCAATCCCTTTTTTTCCCGACACTAGGGTAAACTTTCTAACCTGAAAATTTCCTATTAAATACTTTGAAGTGGTTTATTACCAGCTAGATAAGTCCATTGTCCCCAGAATGGCACACAATGTTCTTGAAGGTACAGTCAGTGCCCATTCCTCCATTCCGTTGCTCTAGTTTCTCTTCATAGCGTGTTTACCTGGATTCCTCATTCTCTGACTCTTAGAGTCTGTGACTTCAATGGTTGTTTTTTGTTCAATATCCTTGAGTCTTGCCATGCACTACAATTTTTTTTTTTTGGAGGGGGTTAGGGAAGACTCACTGTGTAGATAGATCAGGCTGGCCTCAAACTCACAGAGATCCATCTGCCTCTGCCTCCTGAGTGCCGACATGCTTTGCCTTGCCAAGTACTATTGAACTTACAGTTCCTGTGTGGGCAACTTACTAGAACTTTTGAGATTTATCGATCTAAGTCATTCCAGACAGTCCTTTTCAGTTCTTACTGTGTTTATGGCACTCTTATTTATTTAGTTTCTTTTAAAGAGTTTTTCCCTTTTAATTTTATGTCTTTATATGAGTGTCTGTATTTATGTGTGTGCACAGCACTCTTGGTGCTCCAAGAGGTCAGAAAAAGATCTCTTGGAACCAGAGTTATGGGTGGTTGTTATGGGAGCAATCATGTAAGTGCTGGGAATTAAATCATCAATAGTACTTGGCAAGGCAAAGCATGTCGGCACTCTAACCCCAGCCTTTAACCCCAGCACTCAGGAGGCAGAGGCAGATGGATCTCTGTGAGTTTGAGGCTAGCCTGGTCCATCTACACAGTGAGATAACCCCACAGTGCAGGAAACAATTGAGACTGACCTTAGGTCACCCAGACATCCCCTGGAAAAGACTTGGGTTCTGCGGGCGCCCCAGGAGCCAGCCCAGAGCCAGAGCCAGGGACCCAGGCACCAGCACAGAGCCCTGCCTCCGCACCTGATTTGCTGCCCCAGATAGAACTGTGGGCCCCAGGGCACCAGAGACTTGAGTTTCACTGTCGGGTGCAAACCCACAGGGAGGGAAATGGCTGGTCTGATCTTAGAGCACTCAGCTGATACCACCACCCCAAAAAGGTCTCTGGAAAAGTTACCCAGTTTCGGCAGACGCCCAGACTCCCAAAGGCCAGAAAGGCAGAGCCAAACGCATCTGTGCCTGCGGGTTCTACTCGCCATCCCAGAAGGGGACACACACTGCCAGCCCAGATCAGAGTGTAGAGCCTCTGGACCAAAGCTGCACCCTCAGCCACCATCCCAGACCCGGGTGCACAACGTCCGGACTAGAGCAGCTCCTGCTGCCCCCAATCAGACAGGGACACACAGCTTCCGGCCCAGAGTGAGGCACCCATCCTCCAGACCAGAGAGGTGTGCACAGCATCCAGAACAGAGCGGTGCCCCCAGGCGCCAACTCAACCTAGGCGCACATTCTCCAGGCCCAGAGCAGAGTGGAGCACTCAATCCCTGGCCCAGAAACTTGCTGGGTGCTCCTCTCACCTTCCTGAACAGAACTGTGTGCCCCAGGATACCAGACTGAGTTTCCCTGTTGGGAGAAAACCCCACAGCTAGGGAATCAACAGGATCTTCAAGAGGGCTGTACCTGG